TGCTGCGTGAATGTCATGGAGAGATGGATGCAGATCTCACACACAGTTTCTATTTTTACACGGAGGGATTGGTCTGATAAGACGTCAATTGTGGGGCTCTCCGCGCCAAAAGCTTTCTTGCTGAAGCTGATAAAGATGTCCAGAGCCAAGAGTGACAACAGCATGTGTTTGGCATGGTAACAGGGTGTGTGTTTATATATATATATGTGTGTGTGTGTGTGTGAGAAATTCAGCAGGTCAGGCTAATGAAGAGCCTCATTACCAGGAGAGGAGATGATTAGGGCTTTTACACACAAACCCATCTGAAACAAAAGAGGTGGAGACCGAGTTTTATGAGTATCAGGATGATTTCACAGGGCTCAAGTTAATGGTGTAACGTTACTGCAATCCATTCACTGTTATTGCCTCTGTAGTCTCATATTAAGTATAGCTTTTACTGTTAGTTTGAGTATCTATTTCATAATGTGAAGCTCTTTTTGTACTAATGGCAAGCTTTTTTAATTACATTTCTTATGAAATCTGTTTTGTTTTGCGTTTACCAAGTTTCAAATAAAAACAAAAAATAATAAAATGAGATTAATTAGCTAATTTGTCAAGTATTTACTGCATTAAAGGGTTAGTTCACCCAAAAATGAAAATTAGCCCATAAATTACTCATCCTCAAGTCATCCTAGGTGTATATGACTTTCTTCTTTCAGACGAATCCAGTCGGAGTTATATAAAAAATTGTCTTTGATCTTTCATGCTGTTTCATGGCACTCAGCGGGTGTTGCATGCTTCAGTCCAAAAGAACTTAAATAAAAAGCGCCCATCCATAAAAAAAAGTGTCTCACACGGCTCTGGGGTGTGAACAAAGGCCTTCCGTAGCGAATCGATGCGTTTTTGTAAGAAAAATATCCATATTCAAAACGTAATAATCACTTTAATGTAGCTTGCGCCAACAGTTGTGCATCTATGAAGTCAACAGTTAAAATTCTTCCAAATAAAAAACATAAATAGTATAAATGGTCAAATAATTGTATATATTCTGTTCTAATATTTTTATTTTTTTCCATAAGATCAACAGTTTGCTCATTGGCCTACAAAGCATATGGCTTTGACAGTTGCTTATAGAGAACTTCAAATTATGAAAAAATGGCAAGATTAAGTTTTGACAGTAGGATATATATATATATTCACTGACCTATTTACCAATAATATATGTATAATACCAGTAATTTTTTGTCTTTGTGGGGACATTTTTTGTTCCCATGAGGAAACAAGCTTAGAAATCATAAAGAATGAAGGGTTTTTTTTGTGTGTAAAATCTAAAAATAGCAGAAAGTTTTGCTTGAGAGGTAGGTTTAGGGGTAGAGTTTGGGTAAGGAGATAGCAAATACAGTTTGTACAGTATGAAAACCATTATGGAGAGTCCCCATAAAGCATGCTAAATGTGATTCAGACACATAGGCCTAAACAAAAGTGAAGTGTGTGGAAAGAAAGAAAGAAAAAAAAAAACATAAAGCATGTGCATAGAATAAAATATGAATATTGTAAAATACATCTTTCCCACTATTATTTTGTCTACATCATCTAACATATTAACAGCTGATGTTACAGTAAAGTCCGCTCTCTTTACACATATGGCTTTTGTCCCTACAGGGGAGAGGAAAGGAATGGCTGACCTTCAGAAAGACCATGCTCTCCAACTGAGCGTTTAATAATGTATCATTTACTACAGCGTGTGTCTGTGTAGCATAGGCTTGTGTTCTATGGTTTCTTTTTAATCTAGCTGAAATGCTTACGGATGAAACATAACATAACATAGCCTAATAACACGATGTTGTTATCTGACATGATGAAAGGAGTAACAATTTGATACAATCAAATCTCTATTTTCCTTTTTTAAAAAGCGTATTCAGATAAGCTATTTTTACGTTCTATGAAATTTAACATAAAACATTTCACTTTATCTATTTACAATTTCTTCACTTAGCTATTTATCTAACGTGTGTATTTCGACTTCCCTGAGTAAACATGCTGTTGGTGTGAGATTTCCACGGAAGGTGTCGCTGTGTCTCACGTGAATGTGAAGCAAGCACAAGGTGCGCGCGGAGTACCTGTTTTCATCCCACAGCCAAACTTTGGATCCGTTGATCACATGAGCGCACATCAAAGTACTTACGCGGGTTACTTGTGTTTACACTTTGAGGCGTGTATTTTCAAGTTAATGAATTGCCGTTTCAAAGAGAAATTGGTGTAAGTGTCATCATACTCAAGGTAAACGCAAGGTTTAGCGCAACTTTTTGACCACCCACTCGTGCTGTGACGTGCCTAGCAGCGGCTAGTAATAAATGAAAGGCGCAATTTGAAGCGTCCAGTTGTTCTGCTGCTTCAGCGCGTCATCTCTGTCACATGCGGCGGAGCACATTCAGACAGGACGGGAGGTATTTTAGATTGACTTTCTGTCACTTTTTGCTTTTTGTTATTAGAAAAAGTCATGTAGCTTACTTATTTTATTCATAAGGAGTTCTCAAAAGCAGTGTTGTCAGTGTTTTGGGAGCGCGCAGTAACGGAACAGTTGAAACGTTTGGCGTTGCAGTGCTTCCATTGATCGCTCTGGACTGAAGCAGCAAACCACTGGAATACATTATCAGCGATTCAGCTTGACAAAATGAGCGGCGGTAAGAGGTAAGAGCCCAAAACCTGCTCCTGTATTTATCGGTTCTGTGATCAGGATTATAGTTCAGTTAACAAGTCTCATCCAGTTCATAGTAGAATAGCATCTGAAACCCCCTGCAACAACAGACACTGAATTTACATTAAATATAAACACTGAGTGCTGAGTCTTCAGACATGGGACAAAACATATTCCACAACTTACAGTAGCCTAGTTTACGTCCCATCTTTTTGTCAGCATTGCCAGATAGGAAAACTTTTATAAAAATGAGATAATATCGAAGTCATCCTGGTCCTCTTTCCATGTTTCACCTGTTGTGAGTTCAACAACATCACAGGCTCTGGTGAATTCTTTTTTTTTTCTTTGTAATTTTAAGTAATCGATGACTTATGATTTCTGCCATAGCAGGTTATGTCAAGTTCATCATACAAGACATACTGTTGGATATTTGGATAATCTCATTATTAGTTATTAGTAACTAGAAACACCATATGCAAAACTTGGCTAATTTATCAACACCTTTAGATTTTCAAACTGGTGACAGTTCAGAATAGAAGCTAAGAATCCATTTCATTCATGTCAATATTTACATTCACATGCAATATATTCTGCACCCAAACATAGGTCAGTGCCTCTCATGTTTTTTAGGAGATTCACCTAAAACAATTAGTTAATATGTGAACTTATTTACATATAGGCCTATTTTTATTTCATCTTTTTAGCCTGTTATGTCCCAGTACTCAATAAATCAGCGATACAAAATCTAAATATACAAGTTAATATTTAAAGAAGAATGATTTCTCTTACACTTAAGAGATTCCAGTCAGGAGTTGAGGTCAGATATGTAATCCAGTTATGCATAAAACACTAAAGAAATCTGAAAAGAGGAGAGTTCATTCCTTAATGGGTATGTTGCCACTTTAGATTTTTATTTATTTTGCTGCAGTTAAATGGTTGAAAATTGTTATGTTTTGCTTGTATTTTTAAGTGTGGGTGTAGTTTATTATGCTAGTTTGTCATATTTTATGTATGCTTAAACAACAGTTCACCCAACTACCGGTATTTGCAAGAAACCGTGAACCCATCTGATGTGAAGGAGCACTGTTGGTGCTTGCTGTGTCAATGTCTGTTCTATAGGTGGCAATGAAGATTGGGGAAGGAAGAGGGATAGTTTAGGGAAGTAACAGTCAGAGTCTGATGTTAAAAAAACAGTTTAAGTGCTGATCTTTATTTATTTTTTCTTTTTGCCTTACTTTATAATGGTCGACAAAAGTATTTTCCAAGAGATTTTTATCCTTTAACAAACTGAATAAATTGAGAGCCTTCCATTGCCTCCAAGAGAATTGTTTTCCTTACAATTTTGTACATTCTGTACAAATGAGATTACTATAAACAGGATTGTTTTGTCTGTGGTTATCATACGGGTTATGAATTTTGACATTGTCCATAAAGCTGGTATTGTTGATGGTTGCTATTAACAGTCCTAACTTAGCTATGTGTAAAGTCTAGGTGTTAGAAACATGGTCATGTCCAACCCCTCTGTTAAACTTATTCACTGACCTATTAACCAGTCATCTAGTATTATATCATGTCACAGATAACCAAACACCTCTGTTTGTGTCGCACCTGCCGTATGTAGTTATTGCTTAACAACATGTATAAGTGTAAAACCCTGCAGGGCTCAGTAATATGGCTTTTTAAATGGTGGTAAGTGTAATACTAACTTAACTTTTAACTTTCATAAAAGTTAAATAGCCCCTTGGATGACACAAATCTTGACGTGCTGTAGAGCTTCACTTTGCCAGAATTACAACATAGGCTCAATGGAAAAGCGTGCCTACCTACATTTTTTGCAAAAATCCAAAATGTACCTATACATACAATTCACTGCAGTTTCCAGCGGAAATTAACACTAGAGGCAGTAAAAAATCAATTAAGAAAAACGTATTTTCGCACAAATCCTTGCACAATACTACGTTATGACCTCATAACACTTTTACCATAGTGCATGATCTCTGATTAATACATCTTACGTTTGTATCACATAACCAGCTCCATGTGTATGGCTTTTCAGACATAGTAAACTTGATCAGTAGCTCACCCGGTACAACATTGTATGCTGAGTGCTCAGGCACAAATCCCATGAAAATGGCATGGTTGATTCAGCAAATGCATTTTTATCGAATAGGTTTAGTATAGGGTTTACTGTAGGTGGTACTTTATTTTCAAATGAGCATTAACATTTTAGCACCACTCACCGGACATTTCGTTTCCAACCTTCTGCGATACATATAACAACCAATGTACTAACCTGTTGCCAGATTCATGTTCGATTTTCAGATAAAACTGAACTTTTAGTGCCACTCACTGGACATTTCACTTTAAAAGTGTTACTTTGAATGTGTTATGAAATGTGCAAGAAGCAGTGTAATATAATTTTGTTGAAATGTCACCACAGGCACATTTGTTCAATGAGCCTGGGTTCCAGAATTGAGTGTTTAAACTTGGCATCTTTTCAGCATGCTTGATTACATCTAGTTGAGATATGCAGTGACACTGGGCGCTCAGGGAGCTCTGGGCTCTTATCAGAGAAACAAGCTCTATCCTTCCTGTTTGTGTTTACATCTTTCTTTGAATTTATAGTTTTGTAAAAATGTAATGAGCCCATAGAGGAAATCATTATCTAAAGTAGTGCTGGGCGGTATACCGGTTAATACCGAATACCGGTTTTTATTTTCGTTATGATATGAATTTTGAAAATACCGCAATACCGGTATATGTCACTTAAACAACGTTCGGAACGCGACACTGTTTGAAAGGGGTGTTGCACGATAAAAAAGTAATATAGCCAAAACAACCGCATAGCCGCCGCTCTTTAGTGTAGATGCATGTTGATTTTATCAGACGATGCCGCGATTATAAATGAGAGTGACTCCTGGTTAACATGTATTAAAAGGGGTCGTGTTTAGTCACTATTTAGTGTGGTATTTTTTGACAATATTCACTCATCATGACAGTAAAATAGGGCATTCTAAGTCAATATACTGCAGTATTTCCTCTCTCAATCAGTAGAAAATATGGTTAACACTCGGTCATGCATGAAAAAAAAAAACCCGTCTTGTACCGTGAAACCGGTATAATTTTGAAAAATACCGTGATATAAAATTTTGGTCATACCGCCCAGCACTAATCTAAAGTGTGTTCTCTGGGCATTCAATGTTTTTAATGGATTTTAGAAGTGAAAAGCACTCTATTATCGAACCTCTAAAGATGATTGTGATCTGAACAAATAACATCATATCCATTTACTGCACACTTTTAGTCACACCTCTGTTCCTGAAAGAGAATGTCAGTGTCTGAATTGTTTCGGTCTGGTCTTTGGACTTCTTTCTAAAATGACAAAGAGCAGTCACACCTTGCTTGGAGCAATAATCTTTATCCCTAGTGGGCAAATGGCTACATGCTCCCCCAGATGCAAATGTAAAGTTCACTACATAGAGTTTACAGCATACCTTTTATATGGAGAGTGTGTTGAAGTCTCAGTGAAGAATTTAAGATATTTAAACCTCCATGTATTAATGGACATGGAACCACTGTATTCTAACAACATACTCTTTGGAAACGTAATGGCCAAAAACAGTCTTAAATCATTGTGATACACACAATGTTGCTGTTGCTTAATTTTACTAGGCAGTCTTAGCCAGGCAGAACATGTCAGATAAAGGTTTAAGTGCTTACATAAGTCCACTCAGAGTTGACTAACAATCATCTTATAGAAAATGTAAATGCTAACTCTGTGTTTTGTTGGTTCAAGTAAGAAATTGATTTGGCTCAAAGTACTGAAATTAACGTAATATAACCGACTTTATTTAAAAAAACTGTAAGGAATAACATACCACCTCTACTCTTATTTTTGAAAAATGCCAAACAGGAAATTAGTTCATTTCAGCCCTGCTATGGATCTTTATCCTCCTCATTCCAGACATCCAGTACATTGGACAAATTTGTTTGAGTGTTTCTTGCTGTATGTTTTTGGTCCACTTAGACATTTGTCCTATTTTATTTTATTTTTTATTTAAATTTTTTATTTTATTTTATTTTTCACAGCCTTTTACATACAGTACACTCCGTAAATGTATAAAAAAAATGATGTAAATGTAAAAATCTATTTATCTACTGGTGAAAAAAATATATAAGAATACTGAAATAAGTTTCAGCCTTGCTATACATTTTTGTCCTCCTCATTTCAAACTTTCTAAATATTGGACATAGTTGTCTTAATTCCAGAATATTATTTTTTATAACGATAGTATTTTCTGGAATATAAGTCAATTAAAAAAAAAATCTGAAACATTGTTTCAGATGGAGTTATATTCCAAAGCGACTTTACCGGGATTTTAAATTTTTCTTAATGTAATAATAAACCAGTGCAATAATTACCTGTGTTTTTTTTATTTTTTTTATTCTCTCAACAATGAGATTTTGACTTGGTGTGTGCGAACTACTTTTTAGGAAAATACAGTAAGCATTGTTTGTTTGTAAAGTTTCCTGTACCAGGTCAGATTAGGTCATGTTTCATTATTGATCTAATGCTATTGCTAGGGCATATAATGCCCCATAATCGCTTGAGTATAATAGACCAGCTGGAGAAATCCAATTGTCATAAATAGCGTTTGAGACCATGCTCAGTGTTTATTCCACCCACATGTAACGTGATGTATTAGCATTAGTATCGCTCATTAGTTGATCTGAAATCTGTGTGTGGCAGCCCGGCTCACACCTCCTGGACATCAGACTCAATTAGCATCTTACTAGGCTGCCCAGCCCGTCCCATCCCCCAGAGAATGGATTACCCTCCCAATGTTTACCTGACCGCTCCTGTGTCCCCTCAAGGGCAGCACTCAGAACAGGACTGTGTCCCATAAGTTACACCGCACATCTACTAACCAGGGCTGGATCCAGACCAAAGACTCGGTTAGTAGCGTTACCTGCTAACCTGGGAACATGGCTAGTACTAGCAGAAACACACTGCAAGTGAATGAGCCTCGCCGCTATGGCTCCACGTTGTCTTTAGAAGAGAAATGTGAGCAGTCTTTTTTCCTCTTTTACTACTACAGGATGGAGGATGAGGCCGTGCTGGACAGAGGGGCCTCGTTACTCAAAAACTTATGTGATCAGGAAGAAGTTGAAGGTAAGTACCTCATTTTTAGTCTAAAGTCAATTTTTGATTTGGAATGTGTACTATTTTAAAGTTTGAAGCCAAGGAAATGCTTCTTATTGTGAAGTCATTTGGGTTTTGCTTTGCTACAGTTAGATTTGAGTGGTACGTTTAGTATGTTTACTTTAGAGTGATGAAGATGTAGGGCACAAATACCTGGTGACTTTGTGTTTACCTTGCCAACTTCCTTCCGGTCCAAAGATAGATTTAAATGAGTGTTAGTGTGTGTTGTTTATCAGAATGCCATTGAAGAGCATGTTTAAGAAAGTAATTTTTTAATGACTTTGTCAGATAGCTATCAGAAGAAGTTTTTGAAGCTTTTACAAAACTAAATAAAAATAAAACAAGACACTCAATAAAATAAGTGAATTATCAAATATATATTTAATTATTTGTTGTAACATAATAGCTACCGCAGTATGATCTATTAATGTGAACTAATTCAAGGCTTAATAAAAAAGCACAGTGATTAATAGGTCCTCAACACTTGTCTGAGCTATACAGCAGATATCTTTAGCTTTTGAATGATTGCAGGGAGGAGAGATGGATCTGTATTTCATCTTCTTTCTTTCTTCAATTTGCATGACTTTAAGTGTTCCTTATCCTTTCAGCCCTGATTGAACACCGTTCCTCCTCTTGCTGTCAGAGTGTGGCAGAGGCTGTGTTCACAATGAATAATAGCTTAGCTCACTGAATACTACACAGTATAAACTCTATACAGCCTGTTATTCTTTAAAACAGGAAGGAAATCAGAATGTTACTGTTGCATGTGCATGTGTCCAGTTATGATCTTGGGAAAAAAATTGCATATTAATGTCAGTTTGTGCAAAAAAACAAAAAACAAAACAAAAACAAATAAACAAGCATGCACACAAACTTCACTAATTCATCACAGTGGTCAAGGTCAACTCTGTTGTACACTATTAATTTTAAATTGTAGTCAGTCATCTGTGCATACTGAATATTTTCATACCATGCATAGTAGTATACATACCATATATTGCAGAGATAGTAAGACTGGTATGTCAGAATTATTTAAATGGGATTACTATCACTGCTATTTAAATGGAAATTGGAGAGCCACATGTAAATGGAATTTTGGTTTAGTTTTGCCGTTGATGGTTTGTCTAATTTAGTAACTTATGCTTAAAAGTCCAGTTTACATTTATAATCATTTAATTTGTTTACGCTTCACAACCATTCAAAAATTTGGTGCTGGTAAGATTTTTTAAAATTATTTTTGAAAGAAGTCTCTTATGCTCACAAGGGAGGATCAAAAATACAGTAAAACAATAATATTGTGAAATATTATTACAATGTAAAGAAACTTTTTTCTATTGAAGTATATATTAAAATGTAATTTCTTCCTGTGACACAAAGCTGAATTGTCAGCAGCCTTTACTCCAGTCTTCTTAAGTGCCACATGATCCTTCAGAGATCCACAGATCCTAATATGCTGATTTGCTGCTCATATTATTATTAACAATGTTAAAAACAGTTTTTGGTGCTTAATATTCATGTGGAAACCGTGAAACATTTTTTTTCAAGATTCTGTGATGAATAGAAAGTTCAAAAGAACAGCATTTATTTAAAATAGAAATCATTTGTAACATTATAAATGTCTTTACTGTTAATTTTTTATCAATTTAATGCATCTTTATTGAATTAAAGTATTAATTTCATTAAAAAAAAAAAATCTTGCTGACCCCACTTTTGAACGTTAGTACAATGAAAAGAACATTAGTCTTTAATAGCAATGGTCTGCCCTCAAAGTAAACTATAACAGAGCAACATGTACCTGCTAGACAAAAGATCCCATATGTGGCAGTTCTTTTAGGTAGAGCTTTATTAGCAGCTATATTAGCATGCACAGTGGTGTGTTGCTATTATCTGTACTTGTACCCTCCAACTCAACAGCTCTGTTACTGCGGTAACACAAGTTGCTCAGATGTTGAAGCCCATAGGGCCCAGCCAGATTCAGGGAATACGCTTTATCCAGTGACGAATTGCGTGCCACTCCAATTTAGGCCTCTTTCTATGGTCGCATAGAAAAGGGTCTCTCCGAAAGAACAGGAAGCTTGGCACAAAGCTGGCTCGACAATCTGTGGTTCCTCCCTCCCTCTTACCTCTCCCTTTCCTTCTCTTAGTCCTTGCTCTTACTCCCTTTTCCTTATTTTGCTCTCGCCCATCCCAGCATAGGTGGGATCCTTATTCATAAACGGTTCTTGATGATCTTTCTGCACCATTTGTTTATTAAAAACAAGCAAAGAAAATGGCAAAATGTCAACAGTTTGCAATAAGTTTCCAGAATGTTTGCAGAAAAGATACTGGATGTGCCCTGCAGCGGACCGATTTGACTGATTCTTAACTTTATACAAACAGTCAGATCACTTCCTCAACCTATAGATTTATATCCATAATGTATTTTTTTCCCAATCAATTTGTGTCTAAGTAACATTTAGTATTTAAAGGCTTTTTTGTAACTACGTTTTTGTTTTGGCTGCGCCGCCGCGCGCTCAATCCACTCAGCGTGCTTTGTTTATCAGATGGCGCACATCAGCTATACAGACGTTAATACTGAATGTTTAATATTATATTCATTGCATACATATACTTCGTAGTAGACATCGTTATCTCCTTTCTTCTGTCTGTTGTCGGTGTTTCTTTGTTTGAATATGGCGCTTATCACATGCTGTGTGGTATCGGCGTTTGGTATCGGGGCATTTTAATGAGTACGAGTACAGGTATCGGTGCATCCCTAGTCAAAATAAATATAAAGTAATTCATATTATGACAGTGCGACAAATTACATTGTAACAAAGTATGACCTATTGTAGATGTTGAAATGTAAAGTACATATAATGAAGTTATAATAAGATAAGATAAAGAGATGAAAAGATGAGATAATACTCAATGCAAACAAACACATGTCACCTTTGTAAAGAAAATTTGGACAGTATTCAAATGCAGTGATCTTTCGTTGGCAGTGAAAGCAAAAAGAGACAGCAGGGCTGTGAATCCAGTTTCAATACACTCTGCATAATTTATAAGAATGGATGATGTATCTTATGACTTTGCACAAAATAAATAGATTATTGTGTTAAGGTTCAGGGGATAATCATCTGGTCAGACTCAGAACCTTAAGGGTTGAAAGCACGTCTTTTAGTTTAAAGTACTGGAGACAGGGTTAATGTAAGATTGTCTCTGTTTGAGAAGAAACACATTAATACGATCATAAAAACAGGAGTACAGTCATACAGTATATTATCAATATAATAATATGAAACGCATAGATCAACTTTTTTTTAAGAAGAAGTCTCCACACAAAATAATCCAGCCCTTGGTTTTCAACCCAGTACATCCTGAATCTGTTTTGCATAAAATATGTTCATTTACGTGCAACATATTGTGGAAAGTAAGTAATTTTAGACCAAATAGAAATTAGAATAGACCAAATTGACATAGAAAATAAAGACAATACAAAAGCAATACAGAATGTTCTTGCATGAACTAATTTGGCTCATCTATAGTCATCTGGATATCTTTCCATTTAAGACATGTTGCTACTGCTTCCAATGGCTTCACCTGTCGACTAATGGTGAGGATTGTCCTGCGTTTAACCTTGTCACACTTGGTTATGTTGTGAGGCTCATGAATCACTGTGGTGGTCTGTTAGTCTCTCTGATGGTGTGAATCATGATCACTGTGTGACCTGGGGGTGAAGATGTAAAGATGGTGTTGTAAGTGAAAAATAAGATGCACCTGAATAAATTCTAATGGCATTTATTTGTTTGTTTTGCTGTACGTTTTTCTTTGACTTTTAACTGGTGCATAAAACCTTCATTTGAGATGCGCTCTGTAACCCTGTCACTGCTTTTCATGAAAATCTTATGAATTATTCAAATTCAGTGCATCAAATAAGAATAATTTTTTGGCTCCATAACAAATTGCTTTACTTAAAGTAAAGTAAAGGTGTTGGTTGAACACTGACTCTTAAAGGGATAGTTCACCCAAAAATGAAAATTCTGTCATTAATTACTCACCCTCATGTTGATCCAAACCCGTAAGACTCGGGAAACACAAATTAAGATATTTTTGATGGAATCTGACAGCTCTCTGACCCTCCCATAGACAGCAAGGGTACTACCACGATCAACGTCCAGAAGCGTATGCTGTTCTGTGTCAGCTGCGCAACGCGGATGCGTTTTCTACGTTTATTTGTGCTTTGATTTGAACGAAAACAACGTATCTGTGTGGTGCGGCTGACACAGAACAACATATATTGTTTGCGTTCAGTGGATACTCTCCAAAATGGCGCTAGGGAGGAGACGAATTGTTGAATAAAGTCGTTTTTTTTCTTTTGCGCACAAAAAGTATTCTCGTAGCTTCGTAATATTACGGTTGAACCCCTGATGTCACATGGATTATTTTACCGATCTCCTTGCTAAGTTTCTGGACGTTGATCGTGGTAGTACCCTTGCTGTCTATGGGACAGCACACTGTGCTAATGCAAATTGATTATTTGACAATTTATGCCATGTTAGAAATTTTAGATTATTAAACATCTTAGTTCAGTTGTAGCATTAGCCTGGAGAAGCTTAGAATTCTCAGAATGAAACATGAAGTTCCAAAAAAGTTACACAGTAACACAGTGTTGGGATGTAGCTTTAACAGATGGACATCTTGTGACTGAGGGAGAGACATGGAAAGTGTCTGTATGATATGGATCAAAACACTGGACGTTCCGCACTACCTGTTAGCTCTCTCAGCCAAAATATTTAGTTTGACAGTCTGCTGCAAACCCCTCCGGTAGAATCCTCCATTTCCTGCATAAATTACGTTGAGGAAGTCACGCAGGTTATTTACGTCTTTACTCATGTTACATCATATGTGTTAACCAATAGGCCACAAGCAAACAGTGGACATCCAGCTCCTGACCTTAGTGACACTACACATTATTTATCTTACAGATGCTGAACTGAGTTGTTGCAGGATGGTCACGTGGCTTGTGTTATCTTGACAGTAGGGAGCCGTTTATCTCATGACAACAACAATGTTAGGACTGACATTATTGTATTTACTTGGCTTGGATTGAGTCGGTTAGTTCTGTATGAGTTTATCTACGTCATCAAGAGCCTTTTAGATATACTAAGGGGAATTCACTCAGAATGAGTTGCAGCCACTGATAGTGTTGTTATTGCAGATGTTGCCTGTGATGTGTTCGCTCCTGATTCACTAAAGGAATAATGCAAATTCTACATTATTCCACCATCCTGTCACCTGATTTGTCTCTAAAATTGTAAATGCCAAAAGTGCATTAAATTGCACTGTCTGGATAGGCCTATATCCCAAGTTCCAACACTGTTCTTCATTGTTTAATTATAATTTGATAAATAACAATTGAAAACTAAAATATCAAATGTAAAGACTTAAATAGATTTAGATTTATAGATAAATAGATAAACAGATAAATAAATAGAATAGATAAATAGATTTAAATTATTTCTTTTAACCTGGTCAAACAGTGTCAGTAAAGACATTTCTAATGTTACAGAAGATTTCTATTTCAAATAAATTCTTCTCTAAAAACTTTCTCTTTTCTCCAAGACTTTCTATTCATCAAACTATCCTGGAAAAAGTATCATGGTTTCCACAAAGATACCGAACAATACAACTTTTTTCAACATTGATAGTAATAGAAAATATTTGTTGAGCACCAAATCAGCATATCAGAATGATTTCTAAAGGATCGTAATTTATATTTTAAAATATTTAAAAATGAAAAGCAGTTATTTTCAATCTGTAATAATAGTTCACAATATTACTGTTTTTACTGTTGTTTCAAATGAATGCATACAAAACGTCTTTCAAAAATCTTTCAAAAATCTTCAAATATATTACCAACCCCAATCTTTTGAATAGTAGAGTATATTCTTTGAAAATAATTCTTGTCAGGAAAACCAATCTTGTTATAGGGCTATTTAAATATTAATACTGAAAAACTAGACAAGAATATAGATAAATTTTTTTAAGCTCAAGTTTTTTTTGTGTTACTTATGCTTTGTGTGGTGTCATGTGAACTTTATAGCCTGACCTGTCTTCTCAATTTTACCTTCTCAGGTCACCACACTATATACATCGGTGTGCATGTGCCTAAGAGCTATCGGCGACGGAGACGTCATCGCCGACGCACCAGTCACAAGGACAGAAAGGAGAAAGTGACTGAGAACGCTTCGGACAGGTCGGATGCAGAGAACAATGAGGAGGCCAGCAACAGCATCCTCAAACCACTCAGTAAGCGCTTGCCAAAGAGCCGTCAGTTCACATTAATGCTGAGGGCTCCTTCATAGAGCCAGTCACAAACACACACACACACACTCACACACACATGCACACACAGCTACTAGCCAAGGCCACTGCTGACTCTACTTAGTCAGAACAGATATCCAGAGCTGCCTAGCCAGCGGATGAGTGTGTTTAGACAGACAGGGACTAAGGCCCCTGCGTGTAAGTAATAACCATCCAAATGGGTCACGATTGCCTGACGTGAGCCGCTGGAGGAGGGAAGTATGTGTGTCTCTGAGATTTCTAATGGTGAAGGATTATACGCCCAAGGGAGGATCACTTAGGAGGCGTTTCTGTTGATTTGGATGCCAGGACTTTGAATGCTCTCTAATGATGTGATAGCTGAATGGGAGAATGAGGAGGAAGAGAGGAGGTGAAAGGGATCGCATAAGCGAGGGAGAGGCAGACACGGAGAAAGAACATGATGATTCCAAGGTCATGTGAGGAAAATGTTGCCCTAAAATCGTACAGTGGTCATGTAGACTTATTTTCAGAAGTCAAAGTCCAAAAATTGTGGATTTAAATGAATTATTTACCAAACAAAGCACATCATCATTTACTCACCATCATGACATTGCTGTTATTTTTTCTTTAAAACTGTCTTTACACAGAATTTTTCCATACTAACACCGTGTCCGAACTACACGTGACGTGACAGGATTCCAGCGAAAAGCAATTTGGTTGTCCACACCAAATGCGACTCGACAAAATCAATCAAATATTACAGCCAATCAGAAGCGTGTGTGGACAGGCTCTTTCTGGAAGCGTACTGCACTTGCAACGAAATTGAAAGGTTAAAGGCCCCGATATACTTCAAACAAAGTTCTTTTTCGTTCTTTGTTTGAGGGCAAAATAAGTTCGAAAAGGCTAAGCGACAGTATACTGTTTTCGAACATTCCGACACCCCCGCGCTGCTGGAGGCGGGGTTGTAAACATGTGTCACGCCGCCTGCGTGTACTCCCTAAACACAACAACGATGGCGGCTGTGAGAGAAGAACAGTTTCGTAAACATCTGGCAGTAGCATTGATCTATTCAATGGCAAAGAAAAATAACAAGAACAAATGAGGTGGTATGTGCGTCCACTTAACGAAAACAGAAAGAATGATGGCGAGTTTGCCCTTTTTATTCAGCAAATGCGGAGCACAGATGAGGAAGTGCATTTTTCATACTTCAGAATGTGCGCCGCGCAGTTTGACGATCTCTTGAAAAGGGTTTCGCCATATGTGAAACATGCAAAAACGCACAGGACACCGATTTCCACTACGGAGAGACTGAGAAACGAACCGGAATGAGAAACGAACCGGAGGTAAAAAAAAACGCACGTCAAAGGCGGCAGAGTTCCAGAATACACCCACCGACTGCGTAATCGCCACGGACCAATGGTAGCTCAAAGGTGTTTTGGAGTCAAAACGAACTCCCCCAAAAAGTTTGCTTTGGTGAGCTGTTTCGAACTGCCAAAACGAACTTTGTTTCGGCCTGATTTTGTTCGAAATTACGTCATTTCAATTCGTTCTTCAATGTCGTTGGAAGTATATCAGGGCCTTAAGATCTAATTCATAAATATTAAACCTTTTTAACATTATTAAATGTACACACTGAGTGACTGACACCATCTTTGTTATGGAATACACTTGTTGGTTCGCATTGAATTCAGTTTTAACATCTTTGCTTTAATTGATTTTCTACGGTAAACTATCTATTGTTGCTTTCAGTATAGCTATAAGGTCACACAAAATGATATTAAAACTCATATTAGACACGTTTAACTTTGGATAAAGCACATAATCACCTGAGATTATCTACTGTAATATAGTTTGTATGTTGTTGTTCCAGCCGCAATATTGCGGAAATAGAAACCGTTTCTAAAATAGAAATTTCACGTGTCGCCGTCGCGGCTAGTTAGGACAAAAACTCAGATTAACATGGAAAAGATGCCTTTTATTGTGTGTCGCAGCATTGCATCGCGTCGCGTGTAGTTAGGACATGGTGTAAGACCTTTTAAAGTATAGACTTCTCAAGCTACAAAAAGTACAAATAAAAGTAGTACATATGATTTGTACGCAGTGTTGGGGAGTAACTAGTTACATGTAACGGAGTTACGTAATTTAATTACAAAATAAATGTAACTGTAATGAGTTACAGTTACTAAGAAAAAATGTGTAATTAAATTATAGTTACTTATGAAAATGTTAATGATTACATTTGAATATTTACACACATCCACATACAGATTAAATTGATTTATTTCCCAAATTGCACTGATTACTCTTGAGACATACGGCCCTATAATTTCCGCGATGCGGAAGACACAAACTGGTTCGTAGAATACAGTCATAAAAACGGAATTCCTATAGCCTAACGTGGATGGAATATGCCACATTTTGGACGAATAAATCAAAAGTAGGTCAGTACACTTGAATCAAAAGGCGATATAGACTAGTGTCTGTGAATATTAAGCCGCAAAAAGACAATATATGAATCTTGCGCGTTCTGCGTGTCTTGCCATCGGGAGAACCGGGACAATTCCCGGTGGCCTGGCAGCCGATTTGGCC